CAGAGCTGTTAAAATGGAAGTAGGTGGAAGTACAAAACAGTGTCCTCAGTGAACCAAACCGACAGGAGTTTCTAATTACCAGAATTAGGGCAGGTTCATTATTACAGATTGACCAGACCCTTAAAGTTCTGTCTTCTGATGCAGAAACTACCAACTTCTTGTCATGACTCCAGCCAACAGAGTTAACTGCACCATCATGACCTAATAAAAATAATAATGGAAATATCATAAAGCTTGTTTCTTGCATTTATACATTTCTCCAGAGTTAATTGTATTGTTTTAATATTATTATACACAATTTTAAAACACATGTTAAGTACAGGCTTCAAATGGTTGGATTAAAGTTGGTAACAGAAAACCAGTTATTGATTTTTTTTTTTCCACCAAACACCATGGAAAAATGTCTCTCATTATTTAATTTTGTGAATCTGGATTATTAAAGTCAGAGAAATACCAAGTTATTCTACCTGAAATCTCATATGGATTTGTATGACATTGCCTCCATTGCTATGAAGGAGTTTGTATGAAAATGTTAAAACAAATATAAAAGGCACATATATGAATAAAAGACATATAAAAAATATCTTTTACACATATTCACATTCTAAAAGAATAAAAACTAATATCTAAGTTTTCTTCAGGTTTATGCAATTCAGATTTGACTCAACTAGAATTATAGAATATTTGTTTGGAACTAACAATCAAACAAACAAACTTCCTTCAAGTTAACAACAAAAACACATTCACAGATCTTTGCCCTCACAGTAATATATAACAAATTCTATGTCCACACCAAACTGAATTTAAAGCACAGGAGTGGTTATAAGGTTGTTGTCATTAATAGAGAGTCTTGCTGATAATATTTAATGAAAAAGATGAGAAAATACAACTGTTAACTGTCTCAGATTGAAGTGCTGAATTGGATTAAAATTATTCCAAACTGGCAAAAACCTCCACAGAAAAAAAGTTTGACCATCAACTCCTAATGCTTCTAATCAAGGTTTTAAGGCACAGAAAATCTATCTCCTGATGCACAGAGGTCCAAACAACAGTCCGAAAAAGACTACCCAAAGAGGGATGTTGAGGGAAGCGTTTAATCTGACTTCACTCTCCACTTGGTAATAGAGTGAAGAAAACAACCATCGCTGACAACCTGGCTACCAAATATTTCAAAGCGCAACGGGGATGGTTAAGGTCCAGAGCCCTATAACTTGCTACTATACCCAAATGGCAAAATAGGATGGTCATCATGCAAGACCACAGCACTTTGCATCTGCTTTCTAGCCAGTATTTGGCTCACAGAGAGGCCCAAAGCCTGGCATCTAGCCCACAGTGTTGATGATTATGTGTTATTGTGCTCTGACTAATAAGCTGTCCTGAGTGTTTCATCCTAGATTGCTTTGTCTCTACCCATCCCTAATAACAGAGGGTTGGAAGTCCAGCAAAACTGAACTTACCACACTGGAGCTTGTAAATATTGGTTTATTTTTTGTCATAGACCTACACGAAGTGTACTGGTGTGGAAAGGTTCAGCCCAAAGAAAAATTCTGAATCCCAGGATGGTTACTAGCATTGAAGGCCTTCAAGATCTGAATCAGGCTTCATATGAACTTCATTTTGAATGTTTAACTTCAAGAGCTTAGAAACTGTTTTTACAGAGCTGCAAAGTGCCATATAGTCCAGAAGACGACAGTGTAATTGACTGGATGATGCTTTAAAAGGAAGTCAAGGCTACTGAGATCCAGAAGGATTTTATCACATAAAGCACTAAAGGAACTCACCACAGCTCATAAGTATTTACTTATTGTAGAAATCTCAGCAACAGAACACCTGACTTCGACAAAGTTCAGTGTTTTAAAACACAAAATATAAGCAGTTACAAAAGAATCACCAATCTGATTCATCGACAGGTAATTATAACTCTATATTTTTGACAGCTATTGGAAGAGATTTTTCAAGAAACACCCTTGAAATTCAATTTAAGAAAAGATACAGTATTACTTGAAAAGACAATCTGAGTATTATATTATAGTGAAGTTTTTTATTAAACATGATCTGGAAACTACTTAAGACCTTGCAAATAGTTGCAATACTTTATTCATTAGGCTTTTATTACTGAGCTAGCTGGTTTTGCAACAACAACAAACATGCCACTACAACAGCTTCTGCAGGACTGTTTGATTAGATTAAAAAAAACCATAACTGCTCATTTAAAAATCATGGTTTAAAGTATTATAAACTCCAGTTAATAGTAAAAAGCTTCCACAAGAAGCAGACTTTCCAGTTTGGTGTCACACAGTTAAACACAAGATTAGAAACTTACAAAGAACAAATTTCAAAAGCCAGAAACATCATCCAGAAGCTAAAAATTATTAATTTGATCTAAAATCATATTGAAGCTTATCTAAAAGATAAAAAAAGAAGAAAATGTCAAACAAAATTAACAAAACTTTGGACTATATTATTCTAATTTTTCCAGATGAAGTCTGATGAATTTCACCTGGTCTTAAAACATTCAAAGTTCTTATGCTGCCCTCTTGTGCACATTTTCTCTTTAGTCAACTGAAGTTTTATAGAAAAATATTGATTGCTTTGAATTACAGGAAGGCTACTCAATTTCTCAGCAATTAAGATCTTCTCTGACAACATATATCTACAAAAAGTCTTATAAAAAAGATATTTTAATTCCCAGTTATCAAACACCTGTAGAATTTTCACCAGAAAACTGCATAGGTACTGGATAAGTACATATGTAAGTACTATACACAATGCATTCTTAACACAAAGATTTATTTGGGGGCTTTGGCTTTGTAAAACCATTTGGAAGCCTTGAATTACCTGAATTAAAGCAGCAAACAAACAAACAAAAAAGAAAAAGCTTACCAAAACATACCAAACAGTTTTCCAAAGTGGTAAGGAACATGAGAAACTTTAGGAAAATCTGAGGTTTGGAAAATTAGAAGAGCCCTGAAAAAAGCTTAAGAATCTCTGCACTCCAGGTCCCCCAATCCCAAAGCACAGCAAAGGAGATGCCAGCTGGCTTGCAAGAGGCCAGTAAGCTTCAAAACAGGTGTTACTCAGGATTCCCCAGTCCTGAAGCACATTGAGAAGGACAGCAGCTGGTTTTGAAAGAGACTTCAAAAAGGCCATGCTGGCTGTAACTCTTTTAAAGCTGGCCAATATTACCTGCACTTCATTACAGGAGAGACACTTGAAGAGCCAACACTGAAGACAAATGCAGAATTACTTAAAAATGTAACTGAGCACTTCAGGAAATAAAACTGAATAAATTGGGCTTATAGTAAGATTGTTGTTGTTATACCACTCTTCTCTGATGGTGTATTATAAAAATATGATTTTCGATAGTCAACTATATTCAGCTGCCTTGAAATTGAAATTTTTAACAGAATAGATAGCATTGCTATTTCTTGAAAAAAGAAAGTTTTACATTACCATTGATTGCAGCTCTGAGTAAGAGCAATGAATCATGGTTTTTAATGAAAAGAAAATACTTTTTTTTCTTTTCTTTTCTTGCTTTAAAGCAAGACAAAGAACTAGTACTTGACACCTTAACTACTGGCACCAGAAAATGCTTCTCTATAGTAGCATGAAGTCTGGTGCAGGTCACTACTCTTCTCATCACAATAAAGTAGCCTCCATTTGCAGAGTATTGCAGTATTTTAGGGAGCTCTGAATGTTGAAATATCTTATAAAATCATAATATTTAATTTTACTTCATAGAAAGACAAAGCCTTTCATTAATAATGTGTTAAAACCTAAGTACCGTTTCCTTCATGATTTACAGAGTAACATGAATGAAGGTTTTCTTTCAAATTTAGAAACTGGTAAATTTTAACCTATTTTTTTCTGCTTTCTAATATGTCTGCTAAGATGACTATTTTTTCTTATTAAAGTCTATGTTTTCTGGTATTGCCAGTATTGAGCCATTCCTTACATATCATTTAGTGTGTAATAAGTATATGGAGGTATAGATGCAATGAAGCCAATTAAATTAGTATCTTCCCCTGAGATGAAACAAAGATAAAACCCAGCTATTAGCAGTCAAAAAATCAATTAAGTCTGCAAAAAAAACAAAGTCCAGTGAAAAAAAATCCCCAAAAAAGTATTTCACAGAATTGAAATGTCACTTTCTGCAGCACCTAATCTCTATATGCATTCAAGTAAAACCAGCCCGTTTAACTTTTTGTTAGTGATTCACAGACAAAGAAACTGGATCTTCAATGCAAAAGACAAACTGCAAAGAACAGCTACAGAACACATACCATACAATGATAATTTATAGACTCAGGGAACAATTTTGAACATGAAGTAGAACATAAGTGTTGCAGAGTATCCCTGCTACCAAAAAAAAAAAAAAAAAAGACTTTAAAGTTCTTGAAAGTCATGTACATCTTAGCTGCTTCAGATTACTTAAGAAAAATGTGTTAATAATCTGAAGAAACACTGCATTCTTTGGGCACAACTTTTTTAATATGCTGTGTACAAGATACTGTAGCAGTACTGTATCATTATTTTTATGGAATTTTCCATGGAAGGAAACACAGAATTTTGATTTCTTTTGGTTAATTGAATTTTTTAGAAATCCTGATTTTCTAAAACAATGTTAAATATATTTCATATATATGGGGTCCCTTTAGACAAATTACTGCTTTTGTTCCATTATTACCTAAATACCAAAATTATGTCAATGAAACCTCAAAACAGTATTCCTGCCTGCAGTTTATATGACTTGCACTCTGAATTTTCTCAAATTAGTTGGCGATACATGAAGAAAAACACTTTTTAAAATTCATGAACTTTCTACTGTGGAAAAAAAGCCTAACCACCCTGCCCATAAGGCATATTTTCATCAATTTCCCCACACACAGAGGAAAATTTCAGTAATGTTACCTCCATTACTGGCCACAATGCCACAGTTTCTTCCACAAAATACAATGAAAATTACTCAAAAAAACCCCAAAACAGTTCTCAGAAATCAGTTATCAGAGTTTTTACTTAGAAATAGTTTTCTAAAATAACTTAAAATAGTCTACTTTTACACTTATTAAGGTCTGCTAGTAAATGACAGTCACCTTCCATTATGAACTTCCACAGTAAGTCAGTCCTGCTATATGAATTTTAAGTCTTAACATTTGCTGTTATTAAAACTTTAACAGATAGCCCTTGTAAAAAACTTGGAATTAATTTTTAAGCCTCATTTATGTTAATTAATGCACCTGTGTGCATGTTTGCACACACATACACTTTTGCAGATATAGATTTCTCCATAAGACTAATCCCCCCCCCTTTTTTTTTTTCTTCAGAGTGTTGTTCTTTAGATGTCTGGAGCTGCAAACCAACCACATTTTTTGCCAAGTCATTGCAGTCAATTTTTTTGGAAAACCTGGTAGGCAGTTTAATCCTAGAACAAAATAAACCAATCAGAGAAATAACATCTTGAATCAGCAGTATCCCCTCTCCCCCATTCTTCTCAAGGTGATGTAAGTGGAAACTTTTAATTACTATGCCATTTTGGGTTAAACTCAATTATATATTTCTTAATAATATAATTCATAAATTTACCTGAAAAAACATTATATGTATCAGTGAGATTGGAATTGAATATCAGTACCGTCTTGTCAGCCAGACCGCAAGCCAGCATCTCTCCATCCCCTATAAAGAAGAGTGTCTCATGATTTATATTTGAAAGCAACGACCTAGTATGCTGTTTCTTTTAATCATAAAAATCATATAGGACACTACAACAAAACACACACCAGATATTTATTTCATATGTTTAACACATATTTTGTATGAACATCACAAACTCATATTACAGAATTTGATAGGAGTTTGTGTGCAATTAATTTCTCATCCTGACATATTCTCAAAATAGTTATTCATCACAAAGCAGAAATTCACTTTTCATGAAAAAGTGCTACAAAATTTAAGTGCAAAAATGTTTAGAATTTCTTACACTCATCTTTTTGTACCTTCTTAAATTTACAAGACCTTTTCTTATATACTAGAATAAAAGGCACATATTAGTCATTCTGGATCATTTCTTATAGATGATAAATTTCCTTGATAAAGTAATCCTAAAAACTATCCAAGTGCAGTCAGATTGTTCATTTATACTGGTAATGAGTGGGGGCACACAATGGCAGTATAGACTCCCTTAATGTCTACCTAGTGGTAGCGATTTGTGAAATTTAACTGTTCACTCAAAAACTTTTCCTGAAAAAATTAAAATAATAAAGAGCCATTAAATGAACCAATGGGAAAAAAATAAGGGAGTGCAGAGCATAAGACGACATGAGAGAAAGCAAAAAGAAGTGAGAGAAAGTAAAGAAATTAAGCTCAGAATTCAAATCACTGCTACTAGGTTCACAGTGAAAAATATTTTTAAAAGAGGTACCACCTGAAGAACCCCCTTCATAAATCTGCTGAACACCTTTACAGAGAGGGAATACAAGTCATGCTTGACTTCACCAGCATTACCCACTGTTATCTGCTGTCCAAGTACCATCCACATTGCAGGTTCAGAATACACTATTCCACAACACATTTTTTTCCAAATTAATCATGGCAATATAAACAGATAAGAGATCCATATTTCTAATCTGAGAGTCATCTACTAAAAGTGAATTTTAAATTCATTCATTCCACAATGAGGTGGATGTATTTGTTAAGAAAAGGCATTCCAGAATCTTTTTTTTGTTATCAGTTATTCAGTGCACCAGCATAACCAGACTGACAAAGAGCTACTTTATAAAAATATTTTTAATTTTATCTGACAAGCAATATTTCATCTGACTTTTTCTCCAAATATTAGTAATTGCACATACTAAAATAATGTTATTAAATATTTTCATCACAAAAATAAGTAGTCATGGACAAAATATTAAAAATAAAAATGCATGCCCCACAAACTCAAAGTTATTAAAAGTCTTTGAGCTAAAGGGTGATGCTCTTCTCCAGATTTACCCCCACTTTCCTGAAGTTCTGACAGTATGTATTTTCAGCATGAGAGCTGATTGGTAAGTATATCAGATAAGGGACATAAGCTAAGTCACACACACATAATTAGTAATACATAAACATTCTTGTGCATACAGAATGAGATAAATTAATTTTGTGTAGAATTTTGGAGGTTTGTGTAATGGAACATCATCTTATATCCTGAAGAAAACTGTTTTCTAACAGAGCAAAAAGTCATAACTCTTAACACCTCCGATACTACAAAAGCATGTTTAATAAATCTAGGAAGGTTTGTATTAACTCATTAATATAACTTCACAACCTCTTAAGTTTTACTTGAGTTTTCTACTTATTTTTCTTTCTATTATGGTTAAAGATGGACACAGTAATTATTGTGATTCATACTTTCCAAAGACCATTTGAAAAATTGTTCCAAGCACAATTCCAAGTTGCAAATTTGCAATATATTGTAAAGCTAGGAACCATCTGGTCAACACAGACTACAACAATAACAGAAGACCATTTTACAAGCTTATAATATGATTTTTTTACTCTAAGAAAAAAAAAAATCTCTGCAACTTTTGCTAAACCTTTTTTTGCTAAACTGTGGTTGATTAAGCCTGTGTGAGAGACAAAGAGAAAAACAGAGGAAGATGGTACTTCCCCAGAGCAAGTAAAAGAGGATTTATGCTTAAAATGTAATATTGAAACTATGGTGATGCTTTTCTTTGCTAAAAAGGAACCTTTACCTTTAAGCTCACATAACGTTCCTAAAAATAAGCTCTCTGCAACCAATTTCTTTCAGAAGCCATAAAAATAATTTCTTCCCATTCTCTAGGGAACACTATGTTTTAGAAAAGTTACTGATTGCATCTAATTGCTTTTATTTATTGAAGATGAAAGTTGCTCTTGTCCCTAAAATATTTATAAATATATACATTTTTAAATACTCTAAAAATATATGGTTTGTAAAGTGTACATTAACATAATTATATATTTGTTAATACATTTGATTGCTAATCTAAGAAGTGGTTTATGTATAATAATATTTATATAGATTGGAAATGACTAAACCTATTGCAAGACTCACTTCTCCAAAGCAGTTAAGAAAAACATCCTCTTTGGATTATATGCAAGAATTCTTTTTTTTTTATATTTTAATGTATAAAAATTGAATAATCTTTATATAAGAAATAGGAGTATTCCGAATCTTTTGAAACAGAACTTCAGCTTTTAATACACCCTAATGACATTAAATGTCTCAGAAAATAAATTTCTTTAGTGAAAGAACTTGTTAGACTGCTAATTTTCAAGTTAAGGTGGGAAAGTCATAGAATAAGTACAAAAGGAAACAAGATGTAAAATCAGAGAAGAATTAGAATCCTTTTGCATATCTGTTAGCAGCTTGCATGGTTTTGCAAGTTAAAAATTTTGATCTAACACTACATGATATTGCCAGAAAGTTTTCTGGGAATTTACCTAGTAAATCCATGGCCTTAATAAACCATGTCACACAAGTTTTGTTTTTCTTTCTGCAAACTGGCATAACTGTACATTTTTAAAAGCCTGTACATACCAGAATACTGAATGCAACGTATTGGGGTTGGTTTACAAGTAACAGATATCTCTTTCTCATATTTGACTGGAGGAGAACTTTCCAATGGATATTCTTTATTTTTACTTCACAGAAGGAAAAAAAAAAAGAGAGGAAAAATATTAAGATACCCAAACCCACTACATTTTCATTTCAGTTATGAAATAAATGTGCTTTGGCAGCTATTCTAAATATCGTTATATAAATATTTCCTGGAAAACTTATGTTAAATGCAAGATAATAAGCAGAATGAGTTTTAAATTGTCATACTTAAATTACTTCTATCACCAACTGTTAAGAATTCATGAGATCAAGAATTAACACGGACTTGTACATAAAAATCAAACTTCTTAACTTCAATACCTAAAGAATGCAAACTATACCTTGTTGTGACCTTAAACAAAATGAAAAATATCTCCATATGTAAAAGAATTACATTGATCATCTATTTAACAAGATACTAAAAAAACCCCACACAAAACTTAAAGTGCTAAGTAGCTCAGCCTATCATAAAATAGTGCAAACCAATCTTGAAGTTATCTGAAGTGCTCATCTAAGTTCTTGCCTATGTGTGCAAGGATTACAAAAACTTAGTCTTGAGCTATTAAGTGTTTAATAAATAGTTTTTAAAAAAGATGAAAAATTATGGCATTAATCATTCTTTACTTTTGTGTTTGTACTACGTAGAACAAAGACTCTATATAATACTAAAGAAAAAATGTGTATAATATCCCCATTTAACATATCACACCAATTAACATGAAAGTGCCAGCTCTAAAAAAAAAACACCATTCATTCTTTGTGTCCACAGTGATGATGAATCCACTGGTCAAATTGTACCATTTTATATACTCTGTTTAAATCCATTAGAGTAAACTTGCATTAGCTTAAGATAACATGATTTTCAGTGTGAATGAGTCTCACTGTGCCACATTCAGTTGTTTTTCTGACTGGAACTGCAGCTTAAGAACATGTTGCAAGTATGCATCCAACCATATTTAGCACCTGTTCTTTTTTCTAGCAACAACAACAAAAAAAAATCTAAGGGAGATGTGTATATTTTCTATGTAAGACTTACACAAATTTAATTGATAGTCTGAATCACTTGCTGCAGTCATTTTATAGCAAATTTACAAAGCCTTTTAGTTCCAGTGATACTTCTAACCAAAAAGTTCCAATGAGAGAAACAGCTACAAGCCATATGTCTAACAGAACTGTATTTATCCTCATTTTAATTTGTTCCTCCTCTAATGGAGTTGCTAGATTACCTACCGTTTACAACTGATCTTCCACTTTGATACCTCATTTTTCCTCAGGTTATTATTTGGAGAAAACATGGTCATTCTACAAGAAAGAACACAGACTATCCTATATGAAACATTAAATGTTGCATGAGAGAAATAGTTTATTTCAAACAAAAAATACTCCTACTTCCTTCCTATTACTTATATCTACTAGTAACATCAGTAGGTAAGATAACATACACATTGATGACAAGATAACTTCCTAATGTTCTAATACTTGAGTTTGCACCTAAGCTTTGCTTTCTGTGACTTATTTGTTGGATAATACATTCTGAAGGTCAAAATCCATTCATATAAAGTTCCCAGACATTTCTTTCTGCAAGCTGAAGAAAGAAGAGTTTAATCATATGAAAGAGACAGGATGCCTAATATAGATTTTGAAAGGAAGTTGAGCACTGACCAGAAGCTGTGAAAACGCTGTTTTACAACATATTTTTAAAATTTTTTTTATAACATCATATCTGTTTTTCATGGGTGATTAATTTCAGTCATGAGACTACATGGCTGTATTATGTGACAAAATATCACACACACCAATAAAGCAGACAAAATAGTAATAATCTGTTATCTACTCACTGTGGTGCTGCTGTATAACCTGATGACTTAATTTTATTATGGAAAACCAATGGCTGATCTTTCACCATGTTTTTCACTCCTATATCAAAATAATTTAATTTTCATTAAAAGTTTTTTAACATTATATTATATCTACTTAGCTTAGCTAGCACAGTAGAAATATTTGATGTTTCCTTATGTTACAAAACACATTTATGACCAATCACTCTAAAACAGTGATTACTGAGAAAAGGAAAGAAATATGAACTGTTACACTGAGTAACAAACCTCTTTCAATAATATCAATGAGTAGGAACTTCTTTCAACTTTTAATTAACAATAATATTTTTCTGAGGAACTTTCTTTATCATTCATCCACAAATGTGTTTTGTAGTTGCGTATTTTGTACTTAGACTTTATATACGCTAGGTATAATATTTTCACACCTTATATTTGGAATATGGAATGTATCTAAAGATCATTAACAAACTGGCTGGTGGGTACACATAAATGTGTAGGTTTTTACATGACTTAAGTCATTAATAACATTTGCATTCACACTGCTGTACTAAGAAGCCTGAAGGGCAGCCTCCAGCCCAAAACCAAATATGAGCATTTCATATCAGCAGAAACAACCTAATTAAATAAATGGTGTAAAGGGGGAAATCTTGTTGACATTCCCAGGGAATAATTTCAGGTGCATTGGGAATGATCTCATGGGCACATTTACCTATGCTGAGGATAGAAGCTCCTTCAACTCCCACCAGCTCTCCTTTCTCTTTATGTAGCAATGAGTACCACTTGCCATAATAGACTATAGGATTTCCTTAGAGCACCTAATCTAACCCGAGTGTGAGGTGTAAGCAAGGGAAGTACAGGTATCAGTTCTGGGTGTCCGAAGCAGCCTGGAATTCTAGCTGAAGCACTGTAGATATATTCTCAGAATATCATACAACACTGAAGATATAACCTTTGACAGTCTAACAGGTCCAACAAGGACAATTAATATAGTAAAAATAGATTATATCCACATGTCTACAGCTATTGGTATTTTTATATCTTTCCTAAAGAAAAAGGAGATGATGAAAAAGTTATTTTGTAGGTATTTTTTGGACTTTGCTTTACTGTTGCTAAACAAAGAAGCTACAAGTGCTTCAACAACAACTGGAAGCCAGACTTTTGGGATTTTTTTTAAAAACAGTAGGACACTGAGGCAAAAATTAACTTCCTAAACTTGCAGGTATTGACAAAAGACTATTCAGGACAATAAAATTAACAGGTAACCAAGTTAAGAAAGAAATGACAAATTAATAAAAATTTATTGCATGCTATGGGAAAAGAATTACTTATGAAAATGTAAACATTCTACACTCTCTAGCTCTTTCAAAATCCACAGAAAGTTCTCAGAGGTTTCTATAAGAAGAAAAATACCATATTACTATCATTTCACTACAAATACATATGTAGGATATGAAATACTACTGGAAATATACAATTCTTCCTACTAAAATAAAAATATCATGCAATATGCATTTAAAACAGAAATCAATGTATTGCTTATATAAGGTATCAGCCAGTTGCAAGTCAGTTACTGTTATTAAAAATATAACTTCATTAATTAATTTCAGGGTTGGTTTATACTTACCAAGTGTTTTACTAGAAGGTTCTTTCATGTTTTTCTTTAAACTTTTACACAATGGAGAATTTGTCAATAAAGAACACCTAAGTTATAAAACCAAGCACAAAAAAACCCCGATCAATGCCATAGACAAACATCAGATTAGGAAAAGGTATCAAAACTTCTTTTTAGCTATTTGTCTGCATGTGTGTCTATATATGCGCGATACCAGCAAGATTTTCATAAATACAAATCAGACACAGTGGATTAATTATCAGCTCAGATACCCAGCAGCACAGATAAGCCTTGGCCCTGACTAGATTCACAGACCATTGCATTTACGTGTTAAATCTCATTTCTGTGAATATTAACTGATGATTTTATTATAACCATTGAAATCTGCGCTTCAGTGTGTATTTTACGTTTTTTTACTGTCTTCAAGATGTCAGTGTTTTCCTGGAAATCATTTACAGGCACATGAAGGACACAAAAATCATAGTCAGCATGGATTCACCAAGGGGAAGTCATGCTTGGTCCACTTGGAAAAACTTCTATGACAAAATTACTGGCTTGGTGAATGAGGGCAGAGCAGTAGATATGGTCTACTTTGACTTCAGTAAGGCTTTCCACACTGTGTCCCATAAGATCCTCATAGAGAAGCTGATGAACTATAGACTGGATGAGCACACAGTGAGGTAAAAACCAGCTAACAGCCAGGCCCAGACAGTGATGACCAATGGCACAAAGTCTAGCTGGAGGCCAGCAACTAGTGGAGTACCCCAGGTGTCAATACTGGGTCCAATTCCATTCAACATTTGCATTAATAACCAGGATGAAGGAGCAGAGCATACCTTCACCATATTTGCTGAGAAGAGCATCTGATACACCAGAAAGTTGTGCTGCCATCCAGACATCCACAGGCTGGAGAAATGGGCTGACAGCAATCTCATGAAGTTCAACAAGGGGAAGTGCAAAGTCCTGCACCTGGGGAGGAACAACCCTATGCACCTGTATATGGCTGCAAGGAAAACAAAACCAGGTTCTGTGCCTGGTTCCCAGTGACAGGACAAGAGGCAATGGGCAAAAACTGAAATATAGGCGGTTCCACCTGAACACCAGGAAACACTTTTTTATTGTGAGGGTGACTGAGCTCTGGTACAGGCTGCCCAGAGAGGTTGTGGTGTCTCCTTCCTTGGAGATATTCAAAAGCTTTCTGGACATGGTGCTGGGCAACTGGATTTCAGTAGACCTGCTTGAGCAGGGCAGTTAGACAAGATGATCTGCAGAGCCACCTCACAACCTCAACCATTCTGTGATTTCTCCTACTCGGTACAACTAAAACATGATAAGAAAACAAGAACAATAAAAACCATGTTGTATGACGTCCTGGTTTTGGCTGGGACAGAGTCAATATTCTACATAGTAGCTAGTACTGGGCTATGTTTTGGATTTGTGCTGAAAACAGTGTTGATAATACAGGGATGTTTTTGTAACTGTTGATCAGTGCTTACACAGAGTCAAGGCCTTTTCTGCTTCTCACACCACCCTACCAGTGAGTAGGCTGAAGGTGCACAAGAAGTTGGAAGAGGACACAGATGGGACAGTTGACCCCAACTGACCAAAGGGATATCCCATATCATATGGCACCATGCTCAGCAATATGCAGGAGGAAGAAGGAAGGGGGGAACGTTTGGAGTGATGGTGTTTTGTCTTGCCAAGTAACCGTTAAGTGGGACAGAGCCCTGCTTTCCTGGAGATGGCTGAACACCTGCCTGTCAATGGAAAATGGTGAATTAATTCCTTATTTTGCTTTGCTTGCATGCATGGCTGTTGCTTTGCCTATTAAACCGTCTTTATCCCAACCCACAAGTTTTCTCACTTTTACTCTTCTGATTCTCTCCCCCATCCAACCATGGGGGACTGAGTGAGCAGCTGTGTGGTGCTCAGTTGCCAGCTGGGGCTAAACCACAACACATGTCAACAAATAGCACTGTAAAAAACCATCTGATGCACTTCAGTGTCAGGAAAACAAATGCATAATCCAACTCAGAGAAAAAAAACATTTAAAGTTATTCTGTACCTGGCAATAACCGATAGATTGTTCTCATTTCCACATGGAGGAAAATCACTCCGCTGAGTTCTCACCAGTACAGCAAGGTTAACTTCCAATACAGAAATTGTATCTTCAAACATTGAGGTGATCAAGCATAAAATCTGCAGCAATTATACCATAAAAAAAACAGTCCATTTACTTCATAATTTAAGCTCCAATGCTGAAGTATTTATAATGGAAAATTAAATAACTTTGTGTTGTTTATGAAAATCAGTCAAAAATATCCATGGGTTAAGTCTTGCAGACCATTAAACAGCAAAAAGTGGTTAATGCTATCCTTCAAAAATATGCTTATGTTTCTTCAACATGTGTCTTAACAGATTTGCATACCTAACAGTCACAGAAATTCCAACACCTTCCACAATAGAGATATTTCTGCAGTAAGAGTTGTGAGAAAAAAGCACACAAAGAAGAAAGATTGGTTTCAGAAACATGCTGAGAACATGTTAAGAACTGGATTTCAAACAAATTCTTTTTAAAAAAAAAACACTGCTATATTAAATATATAGAAAGGACTAGATTCAGCTCAGATCTGTAGGAAAACTGTAACATCAAAAATGGAATACACAAACAAGAATGCCTTTCATTTCCTTAAAAGCACTGCTAGTCACTTTCCACAGACATTTTCTCACGACTCAAATAGTTTTCACAGATTTTTTGGAAGTATTCAGAAGCAGTTCATCCTAACATTTGTTTGAGCAACAAGTTGTAACAATGCTTATATATTTTTTCCCCTAAAAGATTGCCTTTGCTCCCCTAATGATCATTCTTGACATTCAAGGTACACAGCGAACACTATAAAAAATAATTCACCTTTTGCTTATTAATCACTTTGGGCAGTATACAACTGTGGGATCTTTAAAACTACACAGCTATTTAAACTAGTAGATTCCATAAAGAAGAATCAACCCTTTCCAGAGAAACTACTGCGTAGTTCACACCAAGCAAAACAAATGCTTACATTAATCTGTAAATAAAAAGTATAATTAATATTTATTGAAAATAACTGGAAAGGTAAACATTCATTAAATCAATGTTTACTGTATACCTACCTTTCCATTAACTGCCTTCCTTGTTAACGCACACGATCTGGCAAACCGAATGCTGAGGTCACTGTAATCTTTACCAAAAAGAACATAGCGTTCTAAAATTGTATTTGCATTTCAAAACAAAACAAAAAAAAAAATCACTAAGGCAGAAAAAAAAATTTACTCATAATAATTTTGCACCACCATAATCCATGGTGCATATCCTTCTAACTTACCCCCACATTGTAAAGTAGTAGAATAACACTCCTTATATTTAACACTCAAACTGCAAAATCAGATAAAAATTCATTCTAGCCACTACAGAAACGTAGTGCCAACACATCTTTTTAGACAAGTCAGCAATGCCAGAAAAACATACAAAATAGAATTGGAAAAAAAAATTTTTAAAAAACATTTACTTGATACTATAGTCTGCTACTTCACAAACTAACTCTTATACTATTTATATCAGATAACAAAGATGTAGTCAGATATTTTATAATCATACCTTTGTAAGACAAAAAAGCTTCTAATTCAAAGTTTGCCAGATTAATTATTAACAAACCAGTAGAACTTCCTATCCAAAAATAGCTAGTATTCATGGCAGAGGATCTATTAAAGAAAAGGAAAAAAAAAATTATCTGAGTATGATAAAGAAGCTTTTCTTACTACCGTGCAAGACAGAGCTATTTTTTTAATACTTGTTATACAATCCCAGTACAACAATAAAACATGCCAAAAAAATATTTTAAATTTACAGCATTTTTTAAAGTCTGTAGTTCAAAGTAAAAAATTTCAATTAAAATTGGTGACATTTTGAAAAAAAAGAACAGAAGACAATCCTGATTTTATGCAAGTGCTCACAGCAACTCTAAAACAGCCTAGGAAATACTTTTCTTCAAAAATTATTGTGGTTTGTAACAGTTGGAAGATGCCGTAAAAGCACTGTATTCGCAAAGAGTAAATTCAAAGAGGGAAGCAAATCCACATACATTCTTTCTTTTACCACCTGTAATATGAACACACAAAAAGCAGTGAAATTTTAAGGTGTGTTTGCACGTAATTAAAGTACAAGACAAAAGTCAGCAAAAACTAAAAGGGAAAAAACAAAAAAAAAACCACAGGCAAGCCTGAAATGTCTGTCTCAGTCTGCGCTTAGTGGCAGTAGTGCTGCAGTTAGGTAATGAAATCCAGCCTTCACAAACACCACAGAGTAGATCAACTGGTTTAATTTCAGTCAACACCCTCAGAGAAAAAAAATGTTATCAAGCATACGATGATCATAATGAAATAGCAGTTGTCATTCCCAAAAAATAAAAATGTTTTGATGCCTCAGTAAATAAAAATTGACATCAACAATTTAATAAGTTTTCCAAATAAAAGTGACTAGATTTACCAGTTTGATTTGTAAAGTCAGACCACAAGAGTTGAAGTAAGGGTATGGAAAAATATAAAGCTGAAACTTGGCATGAAAAGAGCAACCACTGTGGTTTAATACTCTCTTTTATTAACAAAAAAACACACAGAAAGAGTCAAATACTTTAAAAAGCAGACTGGGAAAGACAGTTTCAATTCTAGTTTGTGATACTTTTATGTGTTCTGTATAGTTTTATTTGTGGTTTGCACTACTTTCATGTACAGCAGTAACAGACTGATTTAATTTGTGAATTCTTTGAACCATTTATAAAGAAGTGGCACTATCACGTTGTTATGAACAATGATATCAAGTGACAGATACATGAAGTTGATCTCACGCCCACTTTAAAGCAATAAAATGCCATCCACTGTGAAGAAACTACTCAACCTCAAAAAGCTTAAGGAAGTATGAGACCCATAATTATTTACACATCAGTGTTGCAAAAATATTTCATTGTTGCATTTCATTGCGGGCAAAATGGTAAATCAGGGGCTGATCACTTGTTCAGACAAATCTGAACAACCTGCTAAAACCAGCATATGGTAATTTAAAAATTAAACAGAAAAATACTTATAAATACAAAACTGTAAAACCAAAAGATAATGGAATTGGAATAATTTTAATGGTCATGGTTGTTTATAAGCAGAAAAAAAACTCCAGATGTGATGCGATAGCTGAAAGGATAAATAGTCCTTAGATGTACAATTCCAGGCAGTATCAGGTGGGTATTGGAAAGTGATGTTATCTCAATTCAGAAAATTATTTCAATTAACGTATTACCATGGATCCATTTCAGGCAACCATGTCCAAAAAGGGGCATTGAAAAAGAAATTAGATTGAATTTCAGAAAAAGTTCAAAAGCAAATGTTAAAGATGTTACAGAAAACATGCGTTATACAAGGTGCAAACTATTTTATCCAGAAGCACAGAGATACTGTTCCTGAGTTATAATTTGCTACACAAGGAGGGAACTTGATAGCAGCTGACTCTAGACTATCAGAATAAAAAAAAGCGTATTAAAAGCCAATAACTATACATGAAAAGAGGGTAATTCAGATCAGAAGTAAAATTAAATGAGTCAGTTGCTGGAACAGTTTAACTGGGGACATGGTGGATTCTTCATCACTGGAAAACTAGCCATCTTTAAAAATGTGCTGTAATTCAAATCAAACCTATATTTTTAATGAAGACAAAATTTTGATAATTTGAGAGTGATATTATATAAGCAATAGGACTAATTCGTCTTCTGGCCTTAGACTTCTGACATTCCATTAAAGTATGTCTGCAATGTACTTCTTAAAAACCACCACTTTCTTCCTCTTAATGGTAGTCCTTCTGAAAATGTAGGCATCAAAAATAACTGTTTGTTAATAATTACTTCAATTTGACATAAAGACAAACAAAATGATTCAGGACTCCTGGATATTTTTCTTCTCTGTTTATCAAAAAATTTTTTATATATTTAAATAGATGATTAATCAGTTACAGATGATTAATACCTGTACAACCCACAATAGGGCAAAGGGTGTAACAAGTGTTTCCTAAAACATGATGTGGCTGAGAAATTTATCCAAATTACAATTATAAATAACAACAAAAACAAGCTATTCTATAAGACAGTGCTTGTGACAGTATCCTGAACAGATTCCCCAAGTGCCTGATAATATGGTTGAATTTCTCTTCAGGAAAGAAATGCAATATAAGGATTAATTTAGGTACCTCTCCTCTACCTGGCCTTCCTAATTCCATGGGAAGGAGTAAAAACATCATGTTTTTAAATGTCTGTGTCTCTGGCAGAATTTGGTCTAGAACAGGTTATGTAGTACAAAAGTTATTTAAATTTGGAAGGCAAACTGACACAGGCACACAGTGACTGCATCAGATTTATTTCCTTAAGAAAGCAAACTAAAAATAAATTTGGCTTTTTAATTGTAATTGCCCTCTTCAGTTTTATTTAACTGATCTTTCCTGATCAACTGGTATCAATAGATGCTAAAATGGATATTCCCAATCCCATTTTTATAAAAATATTTTTCAGAGTAGAAATCAGTTTTAACTTTGTATTGGTTTGTATATTATCTGCCTAAAAGTAGGCCACCAAAACTTGCAGATCACTAAATACATTCTCTGATTTTCCTACAGCATTTTTAAAAAAATAGTAAGTTGCAGTGAGAATAACCCAAGAACCAACAGCAACTCCCAGGAATAGATTCCAGCCAAACACTTGGCAGTATTTTAAAGGACTTACGTGTTTTCTTCATTATGGAAACATACTAAAAAGTCACAGTGTTCAATTAAGAGGATAGGCAATGATGCTTCCACTGATCCTTCTGGTCTCATGTTGTTTGTTTTGCAAAACTTGGAAGTATTTTGCCCTTCACCTAAGAAAGGCAATCAACAAACAATGAAATAAGGAAAACAGACAGTATTTAAGAGATAATTAGAAGTAGTAAAGTAGCATGAACTAAGACCATACTCAAGAAGTTTCTATTTCAAAAGATGGATGTATCTTAACAGCCAGCCCTCTTGAATTACTTTTCCTCATTACTATGTTATTTTTAGTACCATCTTCTTTCAAACACCTAGAGATAAAATCCAAAGAGCCTACTTAAGGACTGAAAAGGATTTGGCAGAATTTAGTTGTGTTCATCTCAAAAAGTGACTCTGAAAGCCGTATTCCAACAACCCTTAAATACACTAGGTACATTTCCACTTAGCCTGAAAATTTCCTTGACACTAAATTTACAACATAATCCAAACACAAGATGGAAAGCCACATCAGTTTAATCTTCCCAAGGAGTCTCCAATCCATTATGCATATGCAGTTCACACCCAGGAACTACTAACACTGAATTCAGCATTAGGCACAGACACTACATCACTCCCTTTCAAACAAAGATGAAAGCAACATCCATATATTTTAAATAATAACAAGAAAGGTGTCAATCTTTTTCACTAGGGTAGGACCATAGGATTATTGAAGCTGGACCACTAGGCAGCTAAGAATACAACAGTCATTGAAGCCAGAAGAAGAGCAAGCAAGGGAAACCAGATCTGCCTTTCCCTAAAGAAAGCTCCCTCTTGCTTGCCTTTAGGAGGACCTCAACCCACTTCAGCTAGTATGCAGGTAATCTGAATGCCTTATTTGGGAACATGGAATCACCTTCCTGAGGTTACCGGTCCAATCTTTAAAGACTTGTAAGTACTCTGTGTTATACCACTAGAAATGCCACAGCCAGAGAAATATCATATCATGGAGGCACTGGTATGGATAAAAAACCCAAACAAACAAAAAAAGAGATTCCTAGAAGCTTCAAAGGTAACTGAGGCATAGTACACCACTTAGACAATGGATGAAATTTTAGGCACTGATTCTGTTCTCACTGAAGCCTTTGGCAATGAATTAAATAAAAAACAAATACTTCATAGTTCACATCATGCAATGTTTTATAAGCAGATACATTGGCCAAGAGTTTATTAGAGACATACATGCATAACTCTTTCCAGATAGGCCAATACCCAACTTCATATCAGCTTCAGTAAGAATTCCATGCCACAGCCTGAGACTCATAACTCTATCATTTATAATAAATTCTCATGGTATAAAAAGCACACATTCAGTAGCTAATAACAACTAGAATATAACATAAACAGCATTCTAGAAGCACTGTGCTACCTATTTCTTTTCCAGTTTTCCACACTTTATTACAGAATTTCTCATGCTCTTTCTTTAAGTTGATATGTGCCACACAACGGTAATTATGACCACTGATTAAACTGAAGATCCAAAGCTGCAAGGAAAAGAAAAAGCAATTGCAATAACCTGTTGGCAATAAAAATAAAGCTTACATGAATAAAAACTAAAGGTCCAATATTTACAACTGTTTATGTAACTAATGAATTTTTGTATCTGGAATCTCACCTTGGACCACAAATTCAATTATATGCATTTCTAAGATTATCAAATATATACTGAATATTAACAAAAGCAGCCATTATCAATTTGAACTGCACATCTAGTTCCCACATATTAGTGTCTTTGAAAAAAACTCCTCATAGACTATTTCCCACAACTAAAAATCACAGGTAATTGATAATAAAAATCTGAATGTAATTGCTCACTGAGTTATGTACATGAATTTAATTTATACCTTTGTCTTTCTAGGCATCACTATAGTTAAATCTTTATTTTTCTTCACAATTTGCTGAATGGTAACACTGAAGGAAAACAGCTGGAAAATCTCATGTTAATATATTCCTAACATTAAATTAGAGAGGAGGCAAAATGCACATTCACATTTATCACATTTTGGTTAGAAATCCAACATGTTGAAATCATAATCTCTTCCATTTTTTGTCACATATTTCATTCCTTGGCCAAAATAGGAGAATCCTATTTTTCACCTTTTTTCTTTTAAAATAGGTATATTTATAGCCTCTCAGTGTAGTCCTCTTATGTAATCACCAATTGTGCTCTTAAAAACATCCCTGGTTTTCAGGAAAAAGTTTCCTTTTTGTAATAGAGGTCTTATATATCATATATGGTTTATTCTCAAAGCATTGAATTATGCTTACTAAAATAACTTGTAACAGTTCAAAACATGCCTGCAGATTGTGAGGCTTTTTTATAAACAGATACATTAATAATAGTTGACTGTTTTGACATAAAGACTATGTTTAATGGATAATTCTTACCTGTCCCTCAGCACATCCAGTAATAACCTGCTTATTTTCTTCATCAATTAGCAGACTTAGCAAAGGAAATGCTGCTTAAAAAAAGATAAAATTATTTCCAGAGTCAACACAAATCAGGTATTTAATTAAAATACATGATTCAAAATTGAATCATTCTATTCATAAAGATGGGTGAAAAAAACCCTTACTGCAATTCTTACAGTTGCACAATGCTTTGTGTGACTTAGCCTTTGTGTTGCTAAGGGCTTTTCATCAGGTCTGTAGCCTGCCTTTCACCCAAACTGCCACAGCAATAGTTTTCTGCACCCTTTCACCCAAGCTGCTGTAGCATGGTTCTGAGAATCCCATGTGGCATTAGTTTTCCCTCATTGTTCCCAGGCTGTTATTCTCATGACCTTGCACCTGTAGATCCTGATATTGCAGTTAAGGCAGGTTTTCAAGGAAAACAATTGCCATCAGGTGGGAATCATTCCTTCTTCCTCTCCTTTCTTACTATGTGGTTTTAGCTTTTAGTTCACATGAAGTCATTCAGTAATATGCATGCACAAAGCTTAGCCAACAATCTCCACACAGCTCATGCCCCCCAAGGTGTGCTCCAATCACCACTAAAAGCACCATGAGCAGGAACAACCAACAGGGAGTTTGAGCAGCTCCTGTTGAAAGCTACATGGCTCCTGTAGGAAAAGTGCTTGCTGCACTGGAGACAGCACTTGCCCTCCTCTTCTCTCCTTTTGCTCTCATCTTTCTACAAAAGTAGCTTTCACCTTTAAAGACAATGTATGTCATCAGCTACAGATACTGCTAATAAATCTACATATAGTATACCTAAAGTATATCGTTCCACGTCATATACAAAACTTGAAAGAAAACAAGCACATCATACTCAGTCAGTGGAACTCTCTCTACAAAACAAGAGGGCTTCATTTGCACATCTTAGTAAATGGTGACAGTTATATGCACACCCTGTACAAAAAGAGTAGTTTAGGAAAGTACACTAAAACTATCTACCCAGAAGTACACGTTAAAGGAAAATACATTTACTACTGGATTTAAAAGGATAATATGTTTACTACTACCTAGTCTACTAGGACTATCTTCACTAAATCAACTAAATATTTCTGTAACAGTTTTATATTACTGTTTAGAGAGAAGATTTTTTTTTTTGCTATGAAAAATTATACATAAAAAAGAAAACTTACTCGTTAATACTCCTGACTGATATATTAACTGGCCGGTAGAATAGTCCCACACCTTTAGGAAAAAAAGTAAAGATAGGCACCTACTTAGATCTTTATGGAAAACACAAACTTCAACCACATCATGTGGTGAAAACAAAGAAATGCAGCCATTGAAAGTGATGCAATATGGTAAGAATTTTTTGCAGTGTTTTTTTCTAACTACGTAAGGCTTTGTTTAATTGATAAATATCCATAGTGAAAAAGCTGAAACACACCTGGTATGGATACACAAAGTACTTAGAAGTACTTATTATCATCTTTGCTTAGGCTGATCTCTTAGTGACAAGCTGAATTAATGAAAAGGCATACTTGGGCTGGTTCTAGATTTCACACAGGGAACTTGCATAATTTCACAATTTTTATACTGGGCTCTGGGAAAAAAGGTCATTACTAATAACAATGATACTTATTATGATCTATAGACCCGCATATTTTAACTTTCATTACTAACATGACTGTTTCTAACTGATGTATTCTATGCTTAATAGTTGATTAAGGAAGCTAAATAAAACCAAATTTTCCCTTTCATGTTTCTACTTCTATAAGCCTTTCTCTCCACAAATACTTCCACTACATTTATCATACCTATCACAGCTGGGACTGAAAAAATCACAGACAGACTGTCCCTACTTTCTAAATGTGGCTGTGAGCCTTTGCTTAGCTCCCAAGCTTTTCTCTTTGTTCATGTTTCATTTCTCTCTGAATGTAAACATCATTCTTCTGAAAATATGTTTCCTAAGATCCTGTTTCACAAATTTATCTGAAGAGATGCTCACCTGGTTCACCACTTCTTTAGCCAAGTAAAAGGACTAGGGGAGCATAAGGTTTTGGGCACTGCAAGTCCCACAATCACAGGAGACAACTATCATAGACTCCAGCATGGCTGGCCTCAGAGAATTACTCCTGATCTGCAGAATCGGGCAGAGAAATTAAAACTTGAAGATTTACTTCCTAAATTATTTGAGAGACTTGCAAAATGTTTTCATTTGATTGTCATTTTAGTCCCAATATTTATGGAAGATAAAAAAAAAAATCAAAAAACACACCACCAAAATTTATTCATTGGGATTTTGTATAATTTATCAAGTCTTCACTAACTCAATATGAAGAAGCATATAAATCTTTTCCTTCAGTCATTTTTACCTTGATTTCTTTTCTTAGATCAACATAATCTAAATAAGAAACAATCAATGAGAAAGTCAGGATTATTAATATTTCCTAAAATTCCAATTCAATCTTTGCATTTTTTTTGTCCAAGGACAGGACAAAAATCAAAATCACATTTTCTCCAGAACAAAAAGTTACACAAAATTAAATTTAAAAAACCCCACACAAACAAAAACAAAAAACCCACAATCAACTTTTGATATAGCAAACTTTAATTTTACTTTAGCTTGTAGAACCAAATGTTGGGATATGTTTAGAATCATATAGAGGACAATCAGGAGTAGACTAAACTGTATCTAATCAAGGCATTCAACTCGGTATCTCCTGGAAGATACACCTGGGTTCACTCAGGCTCCTTGTTTCCCCTCACTGCCTAAGTTGTCTTCAATTGCCATTATATACAGCAGCAGCAATCCATAGTGTCATCATATAAAATGTTGTCTGGTAAAAAATCCTACCAGTATGCAATAACACAGCCATTGCATGCAATAACCCAAACCCAAACCAATATTCCCAAAAGGGAAAATTCCAGTCACTGTCAGAAGATTCAAAGTGAAATGCTTTCATTCAGTTCAGCATACTGAAATACTTCAGTTACTGCCAAACTGATCCAAATATTTTCTTTCCATTTGCCAGGTTATAATAATCACCAAAGTTCACACTTAACTGTAGAAAGTTTTGAATATACAAAACCTGCATTGTTCTTTTAAAAAAGAGTAATTAATTTTTACAAGAATTTCCCAAGCTACTCTAAGAGCAATGTCCTAATTTCTATAAAGTCAGAGGTGTGTTTGCTTAATCTTCAGAAAATATTTAAAAGGAAAAAAAAGACTACTTCACATATTCACTAAATTATATTTTTAATAATGCAGGTTTATGATTTCCTTGCCTTAAAGGTTCTGTCTTCTGACACTGATATAAGCATACTTTTCTCCCATGTGCAAAACTCAGCAGCAGTCACTGGAGCCAGGTGTCCATCCAATTCAGCCAGTATAGCTTCATTCTGTGATTAGTCAAGTCAAAATAAAAACAGATTAGATTTCAACCAATAAATTACAAATAGTTAAATGTTTTAATAATTAATAACTGTTGCTAAAAATTGTCAGATTTGGATTCAAAATATTAATTAAATACGTTTTTTCTTATTGAAACTGCAGCTCTGTATATAAAAACTGGCTGGAAGGCCGAGCCCAGAGAGTTGTGGTGAACAGAGTTAAATCCAGTTGGCGGCCAGTCACAAGTTGTGTTCTCCCCAGGGCTCACTACTGGGTCCAGTCTTATTTAATGTCTTTATCGATGATCTGGATGAGGGTATCGAGTGCTTCCTCAGTAAGTTTGCAGACACCACCAAGTTGGGTGGGAGTGCTGATGTGCTCGAGGGCAGGAAGGCTCTGCAGAGGGATCTGGACAGGTTGGATCGATGGGCTGAGGTCAGCTGTATGAGGTTTAATAAGGCCAAGTGCTGGGTCCTGCACTTCGGTCAAAACAAGCCCATGCAATGCTACAGGCTTGGGGAGGAGTGGCTAGAGAGCTGCCTGGCAGAAAAGGACCTGGGGGTGCTGGTTGACAGCTGGCTGAACATGAGCTGGCAGTGTGCCCAGGTGGCCAAGAAGGCCAACAGCATCCTGGCCTGAATCAGAAATAGTGTGGCCAGCAGCAGTAGGGAAGTGATAGTGCCCCTGTACTTGGTGCTGGTGAGGCCGCACCTTGAATACTGTGTTCAGTTTTGGGCCCTTCACTACAAGAAGGACATTGAGTTGCTGGAGCATGTCCACAGAAGGGCAATGAAGCTGGTGAGGGGTCTGGAGCACAAGTCTTATGAGGAGCGTCTGAGGGAACTGGGGTGGTTTAGTCTGGAGAAGAGGCTGAGGGGAGACCTCATCACTCTCTACAACTACTGAAAGGAGGTGGTGGGTGTTGGTCTCTTCTCGCAAGTAACTAGTGATAGGATGAGAGGAAACAGCCTCAAGTTTCTCCAGGGGAGGTTTAGTTTGGATATTAGGAAAACTTTCTTTACTGAAGGAGTGGTCAAGCATTGGAACAGGCATCCCAGGCAAGTGGTGGAGTCACCATCACTGGAGGGCCTCAAAAAACGTGTGGTTGTGGCGCTTCAGGACATGGTTTAGGGGGTATGGTGGTGTTGGGTTGATGGTTGGACTTGATGATCTTAAGAGAGATCCTTTCCAATCTTAATGATTCTGTGATATCATCCTGCTAACAAAACCACTATATGCACTACATTTGCTTCTTCAGAATGAATGATATAGGAGTAATTTTTCATGTCTGCAGAATGTTTTCTTCTTCTAAGTTATTGAGACATTGTTTGACTTCAACTTTTTAAATCTAGTTTTCTCTCTGGTATATGATGCATTTTCAAGCATTATATATTACTTATTTTCATCTGTATGATAAAAATTAATGTTTTTGTGTAATTATTCTGACATTTCTGTATCATTATTATATTTGAAAGTGAATAATATAAAGAAATACCAGCACCACAGCTACAAAGAATAGTATCTCACCTTTGCATTTAACATGTAGATCCCATTTCCAGCACATACTGCCACTTGTTGATCATCCGGACTAAATCTTACATGAAGCACCATTCCCAAAAGAGTTCCTATGACAATTCCTCGCGGTGTTAATCCTGCAGCAATTTTGTTATTAAGACTCAGTAAAATGAAATGAAAGTCTGGTGCAGTGAGATTCTTAGAAACTTTGCATAGCAGTTATCTAACCACAGAGCTATCCCAGTTTCTGTCAGGAAGATGTACAGAACAACCCACAGTTTAATTATACCAGGCTATTGGAAAGCAAAATACAGAACTATGCACCAGCAGGATTCCTCCACCTGCCTTGTTTCCCAGACATGATTTGGTACTCTTTGAGGTACTGCTTACAAGTGTGCCCATCAAATCGTACTTCTATCAAAGACTGCCCAGGACAGGATTTTTGGAGTAGGGTGATCTGGGAGGAGAGTGGACGAGTGAAAGAGAGTTACGATGTAACTCTCAGAGTTACAGAGAACCCAGTAGTGCCACGTTCATTTTGGAGGCAAGAAATCCTTACTGAAGCCCAGAAAAACAGGGGTTTGAAAAATGCTTCTTCCAGGAGAATATCCCAGCCACTCAGCCATCAAGCAAGGGGACTTTCCTTCTCTCAGTTTTAATTCTTCTGTGGGAAAGGACTGAAAGAGGAAGTGCACCACTGAATATTATTACAGAGTCAGGTGATAAGACTAGCTTTGAGAACAGGCTCATGTTCCATCCCTCTCTTCACAATCTCATTCTGGTCATCTCTCTGGTTCAAGCAGGCTGGTTTCCGCAGATCCCTATTTTACAATGCTACCTTTAGCTATGTGAGGAGGTTTTGGACATCTCATTAGATTTTAGGATTTCATAGGCAATAAATTAACTAGGATACAGGCACAACAACTATAGGTGTCCTTTTCTAGGTTTTATCCTAGATGCTGTGGAGTGTTTCAACAATTGATTAACCTGTCAAGATCTACCAGGATGGAGAGATGGATCACACAAAGAACTCCTGAACTACTTTGATACAGTTGATAAGAACATGGTCAGAGAAAACATGCCAAGACTGTGCAGAGCACAGTCTCAGGAGAGTAAGACTATACAGCATCTTCTGAAGAGCCTGTGGATAGAGAGAAAAAGAGAAAGAAGAAAATCCAGCAGCAGAGAATCTGGCTCTCGGATGCCTTTGTATTAAAACTAAACATACTCTTTATCTGTCTGCTACTAATAGTCTATTCCTAACTGCCATTTTTGTTTCCTCCAAATTCATAGTCTCATTTTATGCCCAATCCCTGAAGCATTCTTTGATTCTCTATATTACTATTACATGGATTAAAATGTAATAATGACATTTATTACAAAAGCATATAAAATGTTCACTTTTCTTTATAACATTAGTTTTCATAATATATAGATTTGCAAATTCAATGTGGAGTACAGTGTGAGAGACCACTCACACACATAAAATCATAGGCAAATCTCTAACTACAGGTAACAAAGAGGAAACTTTTAATAGTGTTGGACAATGCCACACGACTCTCAATAATGACACTGAAGGTGAGCTGTAATATCTGTCAATTATCATGCCATAACTATGTATTTTGGACAGAGTGTCACTGGGACTCCAGTGAGTCATGACTCTGGGGGGTCTTGCTCCATTTCTTTCTCTTGCATTATTCCTCTACTTTCCAGTCAATTTCAATTTGAAAGAGCGTTAGCACTGCTCCCTAGAATCTAACTCCATTGGTTGAGGCTCCAACTCAGGATGGTGGTCAGGATGCTACAACTTCTGCTTTCTTTGTGTTATGTCATCGTAACTCTCTTTCACTCGTCCACTCTCCTCCCAGATCAGATGCTTGCATTGCTCACACACAGTGTTCCTGACAGAGGCAGAAGGAGAAGCAGGACCAGACAAAGCAGGATGTAAAACACTAGTTCTACAGATATTCCAGAAAAAGTAGCATTTAGTTATTTTGGCATCGCATACTTAGTTATACAGTGCTGCTATGATCAGAAGTTGTGCTCTCCTTTTTATGCCACAGTGCTAGAACTTAAACCGCCTTTGCAGCGCTT